TCATATGATTTACAAGTAATAATCGAAGGATTTAACCCTATCCAATCTTGGTGGTTGTATGATATTCTTAATGCTTTTGCAAGGTCATTCTCTCTTTTTACAATGTCTTTATGGCCAGTTACACAGATAAAGATAATAGAAAACTTCTTATTTACCTCGTGTCTCTCACGAGACACGTTTTCGTAGATTTTAATCCTTTAATAATATCTTTATATGTCAAAGTATTATCTATTAGTATAAAGATAAGTTAATTTATCTCTTATTAATTATTGTCTCTATCTAATTTAGAACAGATAGTATGACAGTTGCCCAAGTTAAAAACTTATGCATTAGTAGTTGCTTCGTCATAACACATCTTCTTAATAATCCATAATTCATCATTATCTTATAAGCAAAAATTTTTATTATATAGTTCCAGGACTTTCTTTAACTTTTATATATATATATAAATATATATATATATACCTTTATATTATATTTAATTAATAGTTTTGCAAGCACAATGTGTTTGTTATAAAAGTTCTACAATTCATGGATTTCCGAAAGAAAGAGAGAGAGGGAGAAAGAAAGTGAGATAGATAGATAGAAAGAATGAGAGAGGGGAAAAGTTTTTGTATCACATCATGAATGTTAGAATGAGCTTTAATGTTATTACGAGCATTATCCGTTTTCAAAACATTATCTACATTTTCTACAGGGAATATAATACAATATTTTTTATTGTGGAATATCGTGATAATTATCATAGATTTTATTACGTTAATAAGTACATATTTAAGAGTACTCTACTTAAGTAATGTTCATATATATATAAGTAAAAAAGAAACCATAAAAATTAAAATTATTTCATTATAATTGAATTTAAAAATAAAATTTATTGCAACAATTATTTCAAAAGTTTTTTTATAAAAAATTTAATTATTAGGATATATAAAGTAAGAAATATAATTAACCGAAATCAAAAGTATCTATGTAATTTTAGACTACCATACCGCATTCTATTTTCGTTGTTAGCAGCTGGGTTACCATACCAAATATTATTTTCCCCATATATGAAACCTTATGAATGCCCGAATTATAATTTAAATATATATATGTATGTATTTTCCGGTAAAATGTTTTTTTTTTGTTAAGTTATTCCTTTGGCAACTATGGTAGATGTGCTAGGAAACTTTTAATATCGTTTTGCACTGTTTTTATTCCGTAAATGGTTTGGTTTGGCTCTCGAATCGAACTTGTTTATATTATTTTTACATGCATGCTGAGCAGTTTTTTATTCGAAATTTGCTTGTATTTGTAAACAGGAAATTGCTGGTAAATTGAAATTCACTAAAGTGCATTCATGCAGCAATAAAAAGTTACTAATGGATATTATTTTGTTAAAAAAACTTATGCTCACATTTTAGTATTTTTTATAAGATTGCTTAATTTAAAGAGAGCATCTAAATATGCTATAAAATTTTAAATTAATATATAGATACAAATGTAGATATATATACATAAGAGATGGCTTTAGTTTGCCTTTTTCAATATATAAAATATCAAAAATTTTTAATTAAGCTTTCATTTGATGAAATTTGAAATATTTGTTGAAAATTTTATTGCTTGTCTTTTTTTGGGCAATAAAATTTATTTAAATTCTGCTTGAAAATTCATTTAATATATTTTATTGAAATATAAATGGACATTTTCAAAGGTTCTACTGATGTTAGTGGTTAAACTTAAATTGTATGAAAATTATTATAAAATACTGGAATACCAATAATGCTCTAAAGGATCTGCTTGAAATAAATTTTTTAGTTGAATTGACTTGTAGATGGTATTTACCAAATCAGCATTTATACATTTCACAATTTTTTTTTGTGAAAAAATAAAATTGTCAAAACATTTGAGTGAATATTTGAGGATACTTTTTTAGTTGAGATTGCACTACATCAAGTAAAGTCAGAAAAGTGCTTGAAATCAGCATAAAAGCCCAAACATGTGACCACTTTTGTTTGCCATAAAATCAGGATTCGGATTGCTTTGCATCCGTGTAAGTTTTAGTGCAAATGTGCTGGAGTGGCACACTTCAATGGTGCAGGCCATAAATTTTTATATGCTACTTTTAATAGAAATTGGACTGAACTATTCAATGTTTTTATTTAAAAATTTTATAGTATAAGCTAAACAGTTGGAGAGGTAAAATACAGGGTTGTTTTTTTTTGTTTTTTGTTTTGTCAAACGCAGGATGTTAAAAACTTCTAACATTTAAAAACTTAAGTGCTTATAAAATATTTTATAATTGAAATTAATTTCATTGCACAAATTTATATTTAATTTACCTAGTAAAATTTTTTATAAATGTTTTCTATAAATATTGACATGGAAAAACATACATTAAAACATGTCTAAAAAAAATAAAAAATTTTATTTAAAAAATAGGAAAATGAGAAAAATTGAATTTATAGATCTCCATAATAGACTTGCATTCGTTTTAGTATGTAACTGACATGAGCTTGTAAAACGTAACTTTACATGACAGCCATTTGTAAATTTGAATATGCGGTATACGGGTATGTGTGGCACCGCCGGAAGTGGTATCGAGAGCTTCTGACTGGCAATGTATTTATTTTTTGTTTTTCGGTTTTGTATTTGTTGTTTCCTCTGGCAGTGCATATGCTGTATAGATTGTTACCCATTATCAAATGTACCCGATTCGGAAAAGTTCGATTGTGTTGGTTGACTGCACATAACAATAAATGACCCCATTGTGAATTGTTAAAAGGCTTTTCTGCTTCTTTAATATTTTTTTTTAGATTTTATAGATATTTTTCTATATATTTTGTACCAGGTGAAAACATTTATTTTAACTTTTTTGTTTGCTTGTTTTTAAACAAATACACATATATTGATTGTTTTTAATATTTGTTGGTCTTTTTTGTTTTTTGTACATGATAAATATCATTGCCTACAAAAGTTTATAGTAGCTTTTTCAAAATATTTACATTCTAGAAAAACAATTGAAATGCCTAAAAAAATTTAAATTTTAAACTTGAAATTGAGTTTAAAAATTTTTAATAAAAATCACTATAAAAAGTTTTACTAAAAGTAAAATTAGCCGGTAGATTAACTGATGTTATTGTGACAGTCAAACGAATTGACCAACACAGTTAACCTTCAACTCATAGGGATTAACTACTCCTCAATTAGCTAAGAAATAATTCAATAAATTAACTAAAATTTTTGTTGTTGTCTTTTCAGCACTATTTGAACATTTCTAACTTTTAAACAGTTTCTTTTCATTATAAGACCTGTCACTTTCGGCAAAAAAAAACTTAACATTAAGTTAAGAAAGCCATTTACATGCCACATTCCCCGTAATTGTGGACAGAAATTCGGGTATATTACAATCAGCTGAATTCATTAATAAATACATGTATCTGACTAATATCAATGTTTAGAAATATCGTTAAGTGAATTAAAGAATGGGGGACCCAAAAACTTAAGACTCTATAAGCCTGCACATTGAAACAACAGGTGTTCTAGTCTCTGCTTTTCACGCGCTGTTAGATATGTACGAGTTGACAGGGCAGGACCAGCTTAAGTCCATGCTGTGTCCCTTTAGGGCTGAAATCACATTGGAAACTGCAAAATTCACTTCTATGGACTAAGTCAGTGACGCTACATTTGAAGTTTTAAGGCCATGTCGCTATTGATCTAGCTGCTGAAAAAATATTAGCATAATTTCTACTGGTCTGTCGCAAGAAATGTATTCATGTCAACTTGTAATAGTACATAGCCGTACCAATTCTTAATACAAGACCTAAATTGGGTTGTTGTTAATTATAAACATTTTGAAATCCTAATAAATTAGAGGATATTCTCAATATTAGTGGCGCACATTTTTGTGAAAAAACTTAAGATGTAAATTTAATTTCTGCTTAGAATCCAAGAATTGCGAAATAAGTGTGTCAGTTTACTTCTCCATCATCTTCAATTCTTTTACAATATTTATAAGTGGGAATTTGCAGCCCTTACCTACAAAACATTCAGGGATCGATTATAAAACTCATAACTTCTTAAAAGGCTAAATAAATCCTAGATTGCTTTCTATCAAATTTCAGTCATATAACCTTAGAAGTTAAATAGGTGGCTTCACTTGCCGAAGATATATTGGATCCTTGAATGAGATTATTATGCTGAACCATAAAATTTTGTTGCATTAAAATTTTAAAGAAAAATCAGAGATTAGCAAAGTTGCTTAAATATATTTATAAGTTTGTAGGATTGTAAAATTATTACCTTAAAAAATGTTAAAAAATAATCCTTGACATTTCAAACATATTTCATTATTTTCTATTCAATTGAAATGGCCACATGTACTTTTAAATCACTATGTTATTTAGTAATATTTTGAAAGTGACCATAGGGACTTCGATATTGCTCAACCCAGACAAAATACTGTTAATTGGTGGCGAACGATAGAGTCATACGTGATTCAAGTTCTCAAAACGAAGAAATTAGATCTAGAAAGGAGAACTTGAAACTAGAAACTTGAATACAACATAATAAATAAAAGAGGCCCTCCTCGAAGTAATGCAAAAGCGGTTCCGAGGGGGAATAAGCCTCGCTGAAAAGGGGGTGTTTTAGTCCATATATTACATATTAATGTTAGGGAGTCGGGCACACCATTCCGACGACGGTCGGTTTGACGGTGCATAAAGCATTCCACCTCCTCACAACAAAAAAAAAAAAAAAAAAAAAAATACTATGATCTCAGTACTGCCGAGTTTATTGATTCTATGTCCATCGGAGTATATATCTGAAGTGGTTTTGGTTATAGAAAATTATTTATTATTAACTAATTCCGTCTCTATTCTACTTATAGTTTTTACTTTTATATATTAAATTTTTATATACATATAACAAAAATAATTTAATACTTATAAATTAATCTTTTATGTCCATTTATTTTGTTTTCTGTTTATATATTAAATAATTTTAAACTTTTTCTTTTCAGAATATTACACAAGAGATTCAAACTTCAATTAATTTTACATAAAGTTATGGTAAGCTTTTAGATATATAAAAATATCTTAATATAATATGTTGTTTTAATTTTAATTATTTAAACTATAAGCAAAATATTTATTCAATTTTTTCATTAGGAGTACAGAAAACTTTAAGTTTTCATCATTTACAACGCCTGCTATAAGGCCATTCCAAAATTTGCTTAAAATACAATGTCTCAAAGCCTCATAGATTTATATTTCCTATGATAAAAGTTTAATAATATTTTTCAAAAATACGGATATTTTTATTTTATAAGAGAAATTTATTAAAATTTTGAACTTGGAATTAGGAATTTGTAGTCAGACCATCTATTGGTAGTAACAGTTCCGTATTTGCCTGTTAGTGCCTCTATAATATTTTCGTTTTTGCTAAAACGCATTTCTCTACTAAAGAAAAAATTGAAATAATGAAACTTTTATGTGCTCTTTAATAGCACTATTTTATTATAAAATTTTTCATTTACAAATACAAATACATCTGAATTAGACAGTTATTTAAGTTAAGCAATTTTAATATAGTACACTCTAAATGTGTGGATAAGATGCTTGGGTTTTGATGCATAATAATTTTATTTAGTACTTAATATAGTAAAAATATCTTGCACTACATATATTTGCTAAAAGCCGCTTCTAATTTTTAATTTATGGATGGCATTCATATTTCCATAGTAGAAGTACTGTCCGAGTTACATTATTAATCAAAAGAGACTACATGACCATATCTTAAATTTTTTGATGACATTTTAAGTTACGAGTATATGAATAATTATTTTATAGAGAAACACGATATTTCCATCAATAGTGGATTTTACTAACTGATTCCTACATGGAAACAATTTTTAAATATTTTTTTCTAAAGATTTGTGTCGTAATTTATTCAAATCAGTGTACGTTGCGTTGTGGTTGACAGGATTATCTCACATGTTAGTCTGAAACTATACATGCTTTTATGTCCTGTGTAGATTTACATGTCTTAAGAATAAAATTCATTAAAAGTAATTTAGCTAATGACATAATCTTGCTTAGTACTTATACGTATAAGCTTAGTTAAGAACTACATTGTGACCGAAAGGTTTTCGGAAATTCTCATTTAAAATTCGCGCGCTGTATATTTTTCGATATTTTAAGTTTATGTAGTTTGGCAGCACTGTCCTTAATTACTATGCCAAAATGAGCGATCTGTCCGACAGTTCGTTTACGGCAGCTGTTGAAACCAGTTCACCTCAGTAGTGCGTTGCGAAAAAAACAATGGAAAAAAATATTGAACAAAGAGTTTGCATCAAATTTTGTTTTTCGAACGAAATTTCGTGTGCAGAATCGTTGCGAATGCTACAAAAGGCTTATGGGGAATCAGTTTTATCGAAAACTCAAGTTTATGAGTGGTACAAAGCCTTTCAGGACTGTCGTACGACCGTCGAAGACATGCCGCGTTCTGGACGACCTTCGACCTCTACCACCGACGAAAACATTGAAAAGGCAAAGGAAATCGTGTTCAAAAATCCTCATGTGAGTGTTAGAGAGATAGCACGAGAGCTAGGCATCGGTCGTGAGATGGCTCGTTTGATTTTGGTGGACAATTTGTGTATGCGACGTGTCAACGCCCGGCTTGTTCCGATTCACCTCAATTTGTTCAACATTATCAACGATTTTAAGGCCAAACATTCAATAAATACCATCGAACAGCCACCGTATTCACCTGATCTTGCACCGTGTGACTTTTTCCTGTTTCCCAACCTCAAATTACCACTCAGAGGAACGCGTTTTGAATCCATAGAAGACGTAAAACAGAATTCGCAGAGGGAACTCAAAGCCATACCGGAAAGCGCCTATAAAACATTGTTTGATGATTGGAAGAAACGTTGCTTTGTGATCGCTTCTAAGGGCATTTTGCAGGAGATAAAATAAATATTGATGAAGGTTAAGAATTTTGCGTTTTATTTAAAATTTCCCGAAAACTTTTCGGTCACAATGTAGTTTATTGAAATAACAACCTTAAGCATTGATTTCATTTTACTCTACATAAGTAATATTCTCAAATGTATTTTTATTTATATGAGAAAAAAAAAATACTGTATAGTTAAAAAAAACTTCTAGTATTAAATTTTTATTTATTTATTTTTTTTTTTGATTTAAACAATTTAATTTTTTTTAACAACTTGAAAATGTTTATATCAAAATCTATCTTGATTATTGAACATCTTTCAATTTCTCTACCTTGTGAAGATTTTATAGTAAACAGATATTAGATTTCATATTTTGTTCTCATTTATCATTAAACAATTAAACCTTGGAATTAGAATAATGTAGGGCTTCATCATTCCTTTTTGAATACTTCATAAGTTTATATATTTAAATATATGTTAAAGTTTTTACTTCTTTATAAATTTTCATTAAGCCATAAGGTCGGAATGATATAGATTAACTAGGTACTTCGTGAATATTTTTTGCTTGATGTTTCAACTCCTCTGTCATTTCCGTAAAACCATAAAACTTTGGAATGATGTAGGGTTTCTACTTAATAGGTATATAAAACATACTGAACAGATTATGGAATTCTTCTTTTTCTGTTGATTTATAACATGTCGCATTGGTCCTAATGTTGTAGGTCCTTTACTTCTTGAATACAACATACTAAACAGATTGCAGATTTTCTACTTCTTTATTAGTTTTCATTAAATCGTAAAATGTTTGAATAGTGTAGATATCATATATAGTAAATATTACATTTTGAACATATGTTAGAGTTCTTACTTCTCAGTCACATACTATTAAGCCGTAAATGGTCAGAATGATGTTAGTTTTTTACTACTACGTCATTATTACTTGCTAAACATAAGTTAGAGTTCCTACTGCCAATTTCTACTAAGCTATAAGAGGATGGAATAGAGTGAGTCTTTTCCTTCATGAGTATTATATCTGAATATTTGTTAGAGTTTTACACATTATATCGAAATGATATAAATCTTTCTTCTTTTACTGCTGATTTCCATTAAACCATAATTAGTTAGAATGACAGAATGTTATAAAAGATCCTAATGATATAGGTCGTTACTTGTTGAATTTAACATACCGAATAGATGGTCATAAAATGTCGGAATAGTGTAGATCTCTAATATAGTAAATATTACATTTTGAACATATGTCCTAATGCAACTAGTAACCTATTTCTATTTCCTTGAATATTACCATTTATCCATTAAAGGAGCGAATAGTGTAGTTCTTTAATTTCTTATTTATTACATGCTGAACATATGTTACAGTTCCTACTTCTCTGCCGTTTTCCATTAAACCATACAAGGTTGCTCTGAGTTTTATTAATCCACCAAATATTATATGTGGATATGTCTTATTACAATATGTTCTGCGTATGGGGTAAGCAAGATTGCTACAAGAGCTGTATTTATCACGTTTAAATTTTTTTTATAATACATCCTGATATAAATTATTAAATATATATAAATAATATTAATAATAAATGGAAATATATGGAAATAGTATAGTCGCATTCATAGTACCATTTATAATAATAGAGATACAATATAGACATTTGTTTTTCAAAATATTTTTTTAATATTATGTTATTATATGTCCTGATATGAGTATTAATAGAAATATAATATAATTTATAATAATAAAGACATTATATAGACATATTTTTTAAATTTTTCGTATATAGAAAATGTTATGCTACTGATCTATGTAGTACAACATCGTGTAGCTTTGTTATCTAAAATGTTCCAATATAAAAATACTGATAGTGATGACTTTATATTAATCAATATTGATAGCTTTTAATTTTACTAATTCCGTCTCTAAACTAACATTTAAAAATTTAATTTAATTTTTTTAACATAAAAATCAAAATTAAATAACATAAATAATAAGTAAATACAGTCTAATTGGTTCTCTTGCATAATTTAAATTTAATTATAAAATTATTAAATTTTGTTTTTGTTGAATAAAATAATAACTTCACCTAAGGCAAGGAATTCATAGATGAAGATACAGAATCCATAATGTATTTGTGCTTTCGTACCTCATATTTAACCTCAATTCAGTTATAAACTGCAGAATAATGCAATACTCATACGCTGCCATTAGAAAGATGATATACGTGCATGCATTCATAATAGAACACACCGAGAGATAAATATTTTGATTGCACTTCAGGGCCCATTCATGTCATTTACATATTAACAGCCCTGAACAATTTAAATGCAGAACAATGTCAATTCGATACAATTTGCAATGCAGCAATGCAATATTGTTTTATTATTAAATAATATAAAAACAATTACACGTACTCTGTGTGTCTTGCTTGTGCCTGAACAAATCTGTCAAACTATTTAAATGCATAATTTAAACCAAATAATTTAAATGCCATTCCAGCTGAAGTAATCAATATGCAGGTTCAGTAAACTTTTCCTCAGAGTGTTTTAAGCACTTGGCTGTTGAATTTATAGGAAGATTGGAGAGATTGGAAGATTTTATTTGATAGACGACAGCAGGACATTACAAAAGTCAGTATGTTCAGTGATTTATTAAAACTAATTTACATATATAATATGATTTTCGAAATCTCTGCTCTCTATAAGATTTATATTTATATATGGTAATTTAAGGTCATTAAGTACTTTTGCTTATATATTTTACTACTATAAGTGTTGACTGATTAAAATTTTAATTCATTTGCACATTTAAATGGTTTATTATGCTTCAGTACATACACCTACGGCTATATTTTCTTGTTGCCATTGTAAATGAGACAAAATAAATACAATTCATTAACACTATTGAGTATGATCTATTGGGATTAAAGTGGTTAAGCACAAATGTTTTGTTAAGGCGAATTTAATTATTCATCAGATACAAAAATAGATTAATTTTATTTGATTAAAACGCTCTCAATCATCGCACTTTACGCAAGTTGCACGCATCAAACTGGCATGTAAGTTAATTAATTAAATTAAATTAAATAAGTAAAATAAATTTAATTA